ATTACACCATCACTAAGAAGTCAGGGAGAAAAGTAGTCAAGGAACAAGGGCATATTTAGGCAAGGAGTCGAATCAGCTCAGAGTTATGAAATCTGATATTTTCAGTGGACAGAATAACCACCGTAGAACCAATTTTATTAAGCAGTAATTGCAATACTGGGCTGCCTGAAAACGTTTGCTGACTGATGCAGCAAAACAAATTCTTCCCAATTTAAGTTGCATGGTAACCAAGGCTGAATACATATCTGAAGAAGAAAATCCTACAAGTGCTTACTCCTGGTAGTAAAAACAATAATAACAAACAATTTGCTGCCTTCTGTGACATCTAAAATAGGCTATCTGAGGTGATTACTTCTAACATAGGGCTGGACCAAGAGAAGCTGCTTGGCTGTACTTCCATTGTTGATATCCAAATGGTGACTGGTTAGGTAGCTATGGCTGTTGCCATAATGCAGAAATAATGCAGTTTGATACTGCTCTAGCTGTCATGGCTCCATCCTAAGGGAGCATGGGATTTGTAGTTTGTTGTGGCACCAGAGTTCTCTGACAGTGAAGGCTAAATATCTCACAGAATTACAAATCCTAGAATTCCATAACATTGAACCATACCAGTTAAAGTGCCATACAGGCTGGATGGCCATCTGTTTGGGGATGCTTTGATTTTGAGTTCCTGCATGGCAGGGAGTTGGACTGAATAGCCCTTGGGGTCTCTTCCAGCTCTATGATTCTATGATTCTATGGTAGTGCAGACGCAGCCTTCAAGTAGATCAACAGGGTCTAAACTATTGATATAAGTTCTGACAGATTCCAGACTACAAATTTCACCTTAAGCCAAACACCCACTGTCACAGGAATAAAGGCAAAGGATTCTGCCTATTTTAATTTTTCTACTGTGCTGGGGGTGGGGTGGATTTGTTTTCTGCACAGTCTTCCTTTCAAGGATACCCTTGTTATCATGAGACTGAGGGAGAAAGAAGGAGACTTGAAATCCTGTGTGGCCCTCATCTGAACCACACAGGAAGAAGAAAAGGCACTTTTTATAGCCTGTCCACTTTCCAAGATCTGATAACTGACTGTGTTTAATTATCAGTATTAAATTCAAACCAGCATACTTCTGTTTAAAAGGAAAAATAAATAATTAAACCAGTATTTCTTTTTCTTTCTCAAGTGCTCCCACCTGGGGGAGATAGTTAGCCAAACTTACTTCCATCTAGTAAATCAAGCATTCAGAAAGCAAATGTCGCCTCTTCAGTGTTGTAGCATCAAGAGTAGATGATGTATTTCAAACTGGAGGACTGATTAGAAAACCTAAAGCATGAAATGCTAACACAGCTATGCTAGTAAACCAGAGATGTAAACAGATACGGTATGCTTTCTGCAGCAAGAACCTTCTTTGGCTGTCTTAAATCGCCAGACTTCTTATTCTCTTTCCTGTGTGTTTGTGGTTTCCAAATGCTACTCAAATATCTGATTAGTGCGCTCTACAGTTAAGCTACTTGGCTTTCTTAAGCTTGCCCTCTGATTCCTTTAGAGTTCTTCATGTTTGAATCAAGCTGTGCATTCCTTAACATAACATAAAACAAAAGGGAAGCAATACTGGGCAGGTTTTTTTAATCTACATTGTTATTGAATGTGACCAGGAGATCAGCTACAAATTGTTAACATCTGAATTTCAGCACTCCTCAGCTTAAAACAAAATTGTTCAGTAGCAATATGGAAGCTCAACATTTTTCTTCTCCCAGAGCTAGTCGTGCATTCAAGTGCCATGGGTTGGCAACACTACTTCTAGGCCTTGTTCCCACTTACATTTAAGCCAGTTTGGGATTCACCTTCACCTTCACCTTCGTGTTGGTGAATCGATTACAAAAGCTGCATTGTTCCCACTATGAAAGTGGATGTTTTCATTATTTCCTTGCTTCTTTTTTGGCACGATTGTCATTCCCACTATTTTGTGCCACTTCAAAATGCATGTCAATCATCTACACATCATCAGTGACGCAACACGGTAAGGATGGGGCCATTGCAGGTGCCGAGCGGGGCAACTTTAGCAGGCTGTTTAAAAGTGCACCATTTCCCCGCTGAGCTTGGGAACTAATTTTAAATTGATAGATGATTTGATCCATTAGTTTTACAACTACTTGTCTTGCTGAGCTACCGTCGGCCTGATCACTTGGTGTGCCAGCAAGTAGTTGCAAAAACAACTGATCACTTAATGTGTTCGGAATCAATTCTTTTCAAAAGAACTGCCAAAGAACTAGTGTCAGGAAACAGTGGGTTTTTTGGTTTTGTTTGCCTCACTTCATCACATTTGCAACCAAGCTCAATAGGATCAGAACTGGTTTCAAGTGGGAACGACGGTCATATAACCCAATCTGCAATTCACTTTAAATCATAGTGGGAATGAGGCCCTAATCTAAACCTGCAGCTTCCCCCTTTTTCTCTTTAATGAAGGATGTTACTGGGTAGTAACACTTCCAAAACAAATTAGAAACTGTTTTTAGATCACAATAATGATTTCACCTCAAATGACAGCCTTAGGCCTGTGCAGTGGCAGGCTCAAGACATTCTCACACTGTTCCTAGGCTATTATGTCCTCTCAGGACTTTTACTGGCTCAACATCCACTACTAGATGAGCTGCTCTAGGTGCTGGGACCCAGCTCACTAGAACTCTGATAATGTATGTACTGTGCTAAGAAGCCACTGTTGTTGTTGCTGTGTACTCTCAAGCCATTTCCAACCTATGGCAACCCATAGGTAAACCAATCATGGGTTTTTCTTGGAACGATTTGTTCAGTAGGGGTTTGCCATGGCCTTTCTTTAAGGCTAAGAGAGTATGACTTGCCCAAGGCCCAGTGGGTTTCCATGGCCAAATGGGGATTTCAGCTTTGGTTTCCAGAGCCATGGTCCATATGCTCAAACCAAATGCTCACCACACTAGCTCTCTAAGAAGCCACTATCTTTGTTCAAATCTTGGCTAATAGATTAGGATTTGTGAATGTATCCCAGTTCAACTGTCTCTGCTTCCAGTATTTCCTTGAATTACTTTTGTTCCACAATAACCACTTTTGAGGTCAGTGGCAAAATGTTTTGTGCATTTAATTTAATTCTTTGTTCTCATTTTGTCTTTTTGATTATACTTCTAATTTCATATTACTCATTAAGTTCTATTTTGATGAGAAACATAAGACATAAATTCAAAAAGT